CTAGCATAGTTATCTGGAATGAGTTCAAGCCTGTTGGCCTTGAGGAAGTGGATATGGTTCTTTAGGCTGCGAGCATGGCCACCTGCATATTAGATCCATGCTTCTGGTTGGACAAGGCCTCCCAGGAGAAAGCATGTGGGAGGATCAAGATGGTGGTGAATGCTTCTGTGAGATTGGGGGGGGGATTCTGCTGGACTTAAAAGGCAGTGATCTGTCTCCTCTACAAAAAGCCATTCTTGGATTCAGTGGGATTGAATAATTATACTCCAGAGGGCCCTGAAGGAAATGAATGATATGAATTCTTTTCAATAAGGTTTCAGACTGGGATACAATATCAAAGTGGCATTAATTAGACTTGTATGTTATGTTTGGTGGTACCAAGTTGGAATGGTGCATCTATCCTGTCCCTTCTTGATCTCTCAGCAGTTGTTAATACTGTTGATCATGGTATTCTTCCACAGTGGTTTTGGGAGTTAATAATTGGAGGCATGTGTTATAGTGATTCTCCTCCTTCCTTCATGGGTGGTTCAAGCTGTGTTGGTAAAGGAGGAGGAGAACCTTGTTTTGTGGAATTCCTCAGATCCCTACAGTCTCTCACTCCTATCCAACATCTTTATGATACTACTGAGGGAAATCATTTGTAATAATATTATTAAAAGGCTATGATTAAAAGACTAAGAGAAAACATTAAATGTTAATATACCCACCTCATTCAATTGCCATTTCCCTAAGACCCCCCCCCCCCGAAGCCTGTTGATACACAGGTTTTGAGGCTTCTGGAAGGACATCAAGTATGTCAAAGAGGGTGGCCATGGCTTTACAATCAAAGTCTGTCCTTTTTTATGTGTGCAATAAACATTCAAAAGTGGTGGGCCTTTGATTACCCAATTGTGCTTATCACATTGACTTTTTAAACTCTCCACGTGGATGCCCCTGAATCACATCCTGCAGTCCTATATCTGCTGTACAAGTTATTAGACATGCATCCTGATTCACCCTGATGCCTCCTGGAATGCATCTTACTCTTCTGTTCTGAAACTTTCTAATTCTTCAAAATCATGACCTTGTTCATTGCAAAGATTGCTTATGGTTTTGCCACAACTATGAACCTTAATACAGGTAGTCCTCGACTTACAACTGTTCGTTTAGTGACCGTTCGAAGTCACAACAGCACTGGAAAAAGTGACTTATGACCGTTTTTCACACTTGCGACCGTTGTAGCATCCCCATGGTCACATGATCAAAATTTGGATGCTTGGTAACTGGCTCATATCTATGATGGTTTCAGTGTCCCAGGGTCATGTGATCACCTTTAAAACCTTCTGACAAGCAAAGTCAATGGGGAAGCCAGATTCAATTAACAACCATGTTACTAATTAACAACTGCAGTGATTCACTTAACAACTGTGGCAAGGAAAGTCATAAAATGGGGCAAAACTCACTTAACAAATGTCTTACTAGCGACATAAATGGTCGTAAGTCGAGGACTACCTGTATCGTTCACATTCTAGCATGACCTATGCCAGTGGTGGCGAACCTATGGCATGGGTGCCAGAGGCGGCACTCAGAGCCCTCTCTGTGGGCACACACGCCATCGCCCCAATCCTAGGCCTTCAGCTGGGTTTTATAAAACCTTTTCGCTTTAGGCCTCCGCCGCCGTGTGCAAAAAAAAAAGGTTCAATCAATCAGTCAATTTTAACTTCTCGCGGGGAAAAAAAAGATCTTGCAAAGTTGGAATTGATTGAACTTTTTAGTCCCACCCAGACTGGGTGGGACTAAATGGGCCACACCCACTAAATGGGCCACCCCAATGGGCCACACCCACCTGGCACCCAACAATGCATAACTGGGTTTTGGGTTGCAGTTTGGGCACTCGGTCTCTAAAAGGTTCGCCATCACTGGGCTATGCGATCAGATACCTTACTGAATCATTGAATGGGAATATTTCCCTTGTCTTCTTTTGCTCTTTTCATTACCCATCTTATCTTACCTACCTGATTTTTATGCCTCTTTGCCTTTTCTAAAGCCTGTTTGTTCATCTGGCATTTTTATTTCTATTTTTTTTGTAAGGTTTAAACATAACTGCAGCATGTTCTTTTGCATCTTCCTCCTTTAATAGCAATATATATACAGCAATCTTTCCCAATTTTGAAGGTCTGTAGTTTCATTCCACCTTTGTTGACATAAAGCTGAGAACTTTATTTATTTACGTGTCAAATTTAGATAGCCACCCACCTCACAAAACAAGTGACTCTGGGCAGCATGCAGCAAAGATTTTCTTCATCTTTAAACAATTCAGTGGGCATTTTATCTTCGCAAGATGCTTTCGTATGACTCGTTGACTTTGCTATGTGGGGGAAAGATTCCAAGTTCCTCTATTTCTCCGACTTTTTAATTCCAATCACACAAAGTGAGACCTTAGCAAAAAGGTGTTTGCAAATAATGTAATTTGTGTGTATGCATGATAATTACACAAATGATGAAAATCACATCATGTGCATGATGATGTCATCCTGCAAATGAGGCAATTGCTATTTCACTCTTATAATTCCATCAATATGAAAATGATACTATTTGCATAATGACATCAGCACACAAAATGGCATAAATACTTCCTTATTAAACAACTTTCACAAATAATTTATATTCTCCAAATACTCCATGAAAATGCTGCAAATTCTTTTTTCATGTTGCAACTCTTGTCATTTTCCTCAGTGTCTTTTTTTCACTGCATTTGTAACAGGTGCATATACTTGCTTAACACAGATGTTGAATGGATATCCATTAATAACAATAGATCAGTGGTTCTCAACCTGTGGGTCGGGACCCCATTTGGGGTCGATCGACCATTTCATGGGGGTCGCCAAGCAAGGCTGTCCGCCATTTTTTTTGTCTGCCATTTTTTTTGTCTGCCATTTTTTTCCCCCTTTTCCGGCGAGTGCCTTACCTCCCTTGAGCTGGGCCAGCTGGTGGTCGGCCTGCTCCGTCTCTGCCGCTTGCCAGCTACGCCTCGGCCGGCGCAGGGGGCGGAACCACGCATGCACGGCGCTCCCGGGCAGGGAAAGTCCTCGACTTACGATCGGTTGGGTAGTCCTCGACTTACGACCGGTTTAGTCCTCGACTTACGACCGGTTTAGTCCTCGACTTACGACCGGTTTAGTCCTTGACTTACGACCTGTTGGGGTCGCGGCATTAAAAAGGTTGAGAACCACTGCAATAGATATTATGATATTGTTTGCCGGCCTATAACTAAGCACATACTTACTGGCTTTTTGAATATCATTCACATCCCATTTCCTGGTATGTTTTCATTAGCTGAATAATACATCATGTAATCGTCTGATTTAAGTTGGCTATGCCGGTTCAATTAAGTTTATTTATTCGTAAAGCACTCATTGTAATATGCTTCATTTCTTCTTTGAAAATTTCTAGTTTTTCTTGGACCGTGTTTCTCACATTCTGCATCCTAGATAAATATATTTGTACAAAATGGAAAAACTCCTCTTTCATTGCTTGCAATATTAGTAAGTAGATTTCCTTGTGGCTTTGATCGGGTTGTATCACCCAGAAGCCCCTGGTGAATGTTCTGCCACAGTAAACAGGAATGCTTCCAACTTATATATAAATCAATGTATATGTCGAACATAATTTATATTCCCTAAAATGAATTTGGGGAACAGGGTGTCCCATGATCTGGTATCCAAATGTATGTTATTTTTTAGCCATGCTGACAGCTAGTCCTCAGGTTACAATCATAATGGAGTCTGCCCATCAGTCTTAATGCTTGTAAATTGGTTGGTCAGATGATCGACCTGATTTTTTTTTCCCAGACATCGTTAAACAAATGAGATGGTCATTAAGAAAATGTGGTGGCTGTTAAGTGAATCCATAGATTGCCATGGCACACATTTTTGCCAAAAACTAGTTCTTGGCAAAACCGTCATAAAACATACTCATGTCACCAATGGATGCTGCAAGAGGCCATAAATGTGGCCATGTTGCTGACTGCCAGAAGGGTAGTCACATGACTGCAGGGGGTCGAGCAGTGATGGTGAACCTATGGCACGTGTGCCTGAGGCAGCACTCAGAGCCCTCTCTGTGAGCACGCGTGCCATCGCCCCAGCCCCGCCTCCCCCCACAGTCCCTACATCACCAGCAGCCCTCCCGGAGGAGAGTCGCCTCCAGGTACAGCCCGTGTGGAGCAGCGCAGCCAAGGACATGGCAGTCGGGTAGCAGGGACAAGACTCCGCCCTTGTGCTCCATTGCCTGCAGATGATGCTGCGGGTGTGGGTGGAGGGCATGGCCACCATGGCTCTGCTGGGCTGCCATGGCGATCTGCTGCGGTGGGCTGTGGAGGCAGTGGGTGGCCCTTCAGGAGGGACAATTTTGGGGCACTCGGTCTCTAAAAGTTTCGCCATCACTGGGGTAGAGGGTGACCATCAGAACTTGGGATCCCAGTCACCCTCTTTTTCGAGTGGGTTATAAGTTCAAACAGTTGCTAAGCGACCGGTCATTGGTCAAGGCCTACCTGTATACAGTTTTCTTGGTGTCGCCACAAAAAACGTTTGTTGCTGCCTTTTCCAGGTTTGATTTTGATGTTCGTCTTCCTAGTGTAGGGGTAGGCAACCTTGGCTCTTTTATGACTCGTGGACTTCAACTCCCAGAATTCCTGAGCCAGCCAAGCTGGCTCAGGAATTCTGGGAGTTGTAGTCCACGAGTCATAAAAGAGCCAAGGTTGCCTACCCCTGTCCTAGTGCACTGGTTTCTTGCATAATATGCAAATTTTATGTACTCATGGAAAATACACTGGCCTTCATCGTGCAGGGCTGCTCTTGTGGTCTAACAGTTTATTTGATCAAAATGCTCACGCCACAACCAGTGTAAAAATGGCAGTTCTGGGCATCTGAAAGGCATAAATGGAACAAACGCTGCTCTAAATGTGAGAACACTAGAACAGAACCCCTGGATTAGTATGATGTCAGGTAAAAGATGGATATGAATCAAAAAGAGTAAAGGGCAGATTTCATCCTGATACTCAGTTTTGCACCTGCTACTGTTCCTCTCTCTTTCACTGTGTACACCACAGCACAGAGATAGAAGCCCTTGTCATTCGCCTGAAGATTTGACAAATTCAAATACATTTTCCGCCTAGACGTATCTGAATTGTCTGAGATCCTCCCATTCAGCCGATCCTTCAAATCATTTGGAATATCTTCGAGTGTTGTACTGTGACTGTAGAGAGACCCAAGGACTTCCAGCTCTGTCTTCCCAGGCAGTTGGCGATACCAATAGAAATTATAGCCTTTGTCAACAGTGCAATAGAAGTTAACATTTGCCCCGGCCAAGCTATTGACAAAGCTTGGAGTCTGGATCACATTCTGGGCAGAGCCACTGCCCACAAAGGCTGAAGAAGGAGAAAGAAAAAGGCAATATCAGCTGGGGATTCTAAAGAGGAGCCCAGGAGACTGTGGAAGAATTAGGTCAAGGATAGACAATGAAATCTGGAGGGAAATGGGGCTCTGATAAAGGAAGGGATCCAGGCCCCTTTCCAGGGCACTTACTGCACCAGAAGGCCAGGAGGGCATGGAAGAAGCGGGGTCCAGGGAGCCCAGAGCAGGAGTGAAGAGGTGCTGCAGCCATCTCAGCCTGGGGCTGCTACTGCAGCAGCTGGGAAGAGATCAGAAGCTGCATGGTTTCCGGTCACGTGCTGGCAATGTGGCTGCAAGAACTGCCTGGCCTGGGCCAGGTGGAGGGAACCGGATGCCCAGACCCTCTTCAGGCCTTTGCTCTCTCTCTCTCTCTCTCTCTCTCTCTCTCTCTCTCTCTCTCTCACTCACTCACTCACTCACTCACTCACTCACTCACTCACTCACTCACTCACTCTTTCTCTCCCTCACTCTCCCCCCCCTCTCTCTGGAGGGTTTCTGCTGCTTGGAAAAAGAAGCTGCTGGAGTGGAGCTGGTTTGCTACATCTGCTGGCTGGGCTGTAGTTTTAAGGACAAAGTCATTCATACTTTCAGTTGTTCCTTCAAACGTGATGGCTCTATATACCCAGCCAAAAGCCACTCTATGGTTTTATTTGGCTTTAAAGGTAGTTCCAAATGCCCTTATTTTAAGCATTTTTTCCCCATAGGTGTCAATAACTATGTTTCTAGATCTTACGGTTGCAAAAATAAGGTTAGAGATGTACAAGTGATGTCAGTGAAATCTCAGAAGAGTTTGGAGGGTCAGAGAGTTTTCAGCCTATAATAGGATAGTCCTAACGTTTGTTCCTCCCCAGGACTCCCAAAAACCATTCTTCGGGTGTGTGAAGGGGAGCAGCAGCATCAGAAAGGTGGACATGATTGAGAGATTGAAGCTGCTGCTCTTTTTGATACCTGCAAAATGTGCAGATTAAAAGGGGGCAGGACTTCAGTCGCCGGGTTGCATCCACTATTTTGACACTGCTGACTCCCATCTGCGGACACCCTTGTTGGTTCGGATTTCAAAGTATAGAACTTTTTAGTACCAGTGTTTTGTCCGAAGTGCTTCACCTTCCACCTGAGCAATCTAAATGTCTTTCACTGCTTACAATATTTGTGAGCACATTTCTTTGTGGCTTTGATGGGACTACATCAACCACAACCCCTTTTGTGAAAGATAATGTTCTGCCACAGTAAATAGGAATGCTTCCAACTTACATATAAATCTGTGTATGGTGAACAAAAATTATATTCCCCAAAATGAACTTGAGGAAGGGGGTGGGATCCCATTATCTTTCATCCCAGTTTATCTTATTTTTCACCCATGTTTACACACTTTTCTTGGTGACAGTACAATAAAGGTTTGCAGCTATCTTTTCCAGGCTTGATTTTGGAGTTCCTTATCCAAGTGCATTGGCTTCACTCATAGTTGAAAATCTCTGCCACTCTCCCTCCCATTGTGAATTATCTTTTAGCTTCATTTGTTTTCTTTCCAATTTGACTACATACAGCTGCACCAGCTGGCATCACCCCACCATGGTGGTGCAGTGGTTAGAATGCAGTATTGCAGGCTAATTCTGCCAGCTGCCAGCAGTTCAATTCTCACCAGTTTAAGGTTGACTCAGCCTTCCATCCTTCCAAGGTCAGTAAAATGAGGACCCAGATTGTTGGGGGCAACATGTGGACTCCATAAACAGCTCAGACAGGGCTGTAAAGCACTATAAAGTGGTATATAAGTCTAAGTGCTATTGCTATTACTCTCAGTGCCATTGATGCTACTGAGTTGTCTCATGTCAAGATGATGATCTTGTGGAAGGACATCTACAGTAGCTATGCCTTTGGATTATGTTAAAAAAAGACAGAGGAATAAATCAGTTTTATTTAGTATTTATGTCTGTGCCTTTATTTAATTAAAAAAAGGAAAGCAATTCAGTTTCTACATTTTAAAATGCTATACGGCACCCACCCTATTGCTTTTCCAAAAGGCCCTAAAATATGGTTTGTCGTCGGATCTGGAGACCAGGAGGAAGATGGAGCCAATCAAGTGGCTGATTTGTGTTGCTTCTGCCAAAGGATGGTGTGGTGGGTTTTTTTAATGGGTTTTTATTATACAGTGGATTATTTCAATGTTGTAAACTCCCCAAGTCACCTAAATGTAAGTTGGGTGGCTGTAATAATTTGTTTAATAAATACACGTGTGTTTAATTTATGTATACAGTAGGTGTTACACATATAAGTATGCAAATGAATATACTGTCTTGTTTCCTTTTAAAGAAATCTACTGTATGCTAGGCAATGTGGAAAAGAACAGGAAATGTGGAAAAATGACACCCAGCCTGTTCAGGTTTTCTCATCCCTCCCCCCCCCCCCCCCAACCACAGTATCAAGATGATGTCCTAGCAGAGATGATGCTTCAGCTGCCTTAGATTCTACAGTTTAGTGCTGTGGATAGCTGTAGTGAGTAGAAAGAAAATGATGTTGGGTAAAGCAAGTAAATTACCTTCCTCCCAGATCCATGCTGGTGGTAAACCATAAAACATTTAGACACAAAGAATGTGACTTAAGAGCATTAAGAGACTGAGAAAAGCACTGAGAAGGTCACTGGGAGAAAATACTTAGATAAAGTTACCTTAATAGTAACACTAACTCAAAGGACAGAGCCCTTGTTTAATGCAATGTCCATTGTCTTTGTAATGCCACCTTTATCATCCCAGTATCCGTATCTCATAAGCATACCTATTCAATCAATTACCTGTTGTATTAATAATATGTGCATTTGCTTGACTCTAAATAATAGGGTTGCAACCCCATTCCTTTTTAAATTAGCCTTGCCACCTCTGGTACTGCAATAAACAGTTTGTGTTTCAAAGAAAGAGTGTGTCTGATCCCCATTATTAAAGAAGTTTATGGAGGAATTTCTCTTATACAGTCAATTAAGTATGTACTTTTACTTCAGTTGATATCCCCCAAATTGTGATTGGGGATTAAGATTGATTTTGAGGGAACTCTGAAAATTTAATTGTGCTGCTTGCCCAGAGCAGCAGGGTAGCAAACCTGAATTGAAAACCAAGCCCATAACTGCTGTTACTGCTGCTAAAGAGAACAAAGAAGCATGGGATGTCAGATTCAAGGGCCTGGATCCCTGAAACAATGGCTTTCATGAATGTTAGTGATTTGCATCTAGAAGTTTAGGACTTTTCAACATTAATACTTTTTCCTGAGATCAAGCAGATGCTGAATCTGAACTTAATACGTTGAGTAGCTCATTCTCTTTTCTACCTACAAAACCCCTGACTTGGACCACCAAATCTGTTTCCTTGCTTCAGACCCTCAACTTCTTTCTGATCCAGATACTCATTTGATGACTTCATTGTGACTATGATTTCTGGGATCCCTGGACTATTGCTTGGGGCTTGATTGAGAGGTGCCAAGAACGGCTTTAGCTCAAACGCTAGGAGTCAGTGCTCAGATCTGTCACATTTTTGTTTATTGGCTGAAGGCTTGCTTCTATATTCCTGTCCAAAGTCCACTGTCAATCAATTTCATGTGATGACTCTGAAATGAAAGATGACAAGGGGTGCAAACTCAGTGTAATGTTAAGCTATACAAATGAGTGCCTTAGTGCCTGAACCAAATGATATCTCCTTAGTGGTCCGTCTGTTTTCTCAAAGAAGGTGAAGGAAGATGCACCATTTCTTTGTAAGAAAAAGAGGTTGGGGGACATGACCACAGTGCATAAAGTCATCCATGAAATAGACAAAGTAGACAGGAAGAAGGCTTTTTCTTCTCTCATAGATTTCAGACCAGGTGTCAGCCAATGTAGCTGCCTGAAAGGTAATTTAGAATAGAAAGAAGGAGGTACTTCTGTACATGGTAGAACATTAAGCTGTAGTAGTGATTACTTATTTGAGGGCTTTAAAAGTGGACTGAAAGATTTGTCTATTAAGATGTTAGATTTACAACTTATCTTTCTTCCAGGAGTTTAGGCTCACTCCATTCTGTAAGCTTTCTCCACAAGAACCCTTTTGGATAGGCTGGGCTGAAAGGCCCAAAGTCACCAGGGGAGCTTCTATGGTTGAGGGTGGATATGAATTTGGCTTTTTCTGGTTCTAGTCCAACCTCTCAACCATTTTACCAGACAGACTTGTTGCGTGAAGGAGAGCACCATCAAAAAGGTAGATAGCTTTGAGAGATTGAAGCTGCTGCTCTTTTTCATACGTGCAAAATATGCACATTAAAAGGGGGAAGGACTTCAATTGCTGGGTTGCATCCACCATTCTGACACTGCTGACTCCCATCTGTGGACACCCTTGTGTATCTGTGCTTATTTTCAGCAATTATTTCAGATTTCAAAGTATAGAACTTTTTGGTAACCGTGTTTTGTCAGAAGTGCATCGCTTTCCACCTGTGAAATCTAAATGTCTTTCAATGCTTACAGTATTTGTGAGCACATTTCTTTGTGGCTTTGATGGGACTACAACACCCATAACCCCTTGTGAAAGCTAACATTGTGCCACAATAAATAGGAATGCTTCCAACCTATATATAAGTCATTGTACAGTGAAAATAATTTATATTCCCCAAAATGAACTTGGGGAAAAGGGCGTGGTCCCATTGTCTTTCATCCCAATTCATCTTATTTTTTTACCCATGTTTATACATTTTTCTTGGTGACAATACGAAAAAGGTTGCCTTTTTCTGGTTTTAGTCAAACCTCTCAACCATTTTACCAGACAGACTCTATTGTCCTTTGTAAAGCAATGTTACCTCTAGGTTAGGGGCACCAAGTCTTCA